TTTCCGGGAAGTTAGCAGGAGTCCTAATATTTGATTAGCAAAGATTGTATATATTATTATGTTTAATGAAAACRCATTTAAATTAATTGCCTGACAAAAAAAGGGGGGTTGTAGGACATATGATGCGTGATTGTGACAGTTGGATTGGACTAAAGACCAAGAACGAAATGTAATATTCTCCTCAGCCATGCTACACTGGTAGCATTTCTCCATAATCTATCTTGATCTTCTTTTGGCTATTGTTATTTTATCCTATTGAAATATCGATGCCTACGGAGTTTTCGATCCACAGAGCGTATAGCTGTGAACTTGGCTTCCAGGAATAAGGAAACGCCACGAAACCAATTCCGGAAGAGTGTCTGGGAAGCGCTCCTTCGYTTAGCACTTCATGTTCTAACTTATTGTATACATTATTGATTTCTAGGAGGGCAGATCTAATAAAAAAGTGGCGTGTCATTTGTCTCCTGTCACGACAGCTAGGCAGCTTCAGAAAAGACAGTTTAATCTCATGCAAATAGCAGTATTTTATTGAAAATAAATATGGTCAGATAGATCATAGTTATCCCAGTGTTAGCTTTTATCTCTTGCCATTCCAGAGTGGCGGATAGCCAGGAAAGCACTCAGTGCCATTCCTCAGCCCTACATCTGTCTTTTGACTGCAGGCAACTTATGCTTTTCCTCTGCTGCTGTATTTGCTGTATACTGTAAAAACTGATGCACTTTATATACAGTCAGACGTTTTCAGCTTTGCTCCCTGCAACCTAATGGGAATTTTAGTCTCCAGCTCTGCTGTCACTGACCTCTTGCTCAAATTACACCCAAAATAGACACAAGCCCTAACCACCAGGCTGGCTTTTATACTGCTTTTAGGCAGAGCGGTGSGACATGTGCCCCGCTTGAGCAACCCTCCCTGCCTTGAGAATCCGAGGAAAACTTCCACAAAGGGATTTAGGTTTCTGGAAGCTCAATGCTCCACTTACCATTAAAACTCCATTCAAAGCCCCAAGCCTCATTTCTCTTCACGGTTACATTTTTTTCTTGTTTTTTTTTCCACAGAAAGTATGGGAGACAGGTTACCCTGAAGCACCCCAGTTTGCAATAGGAGCTTACACAGAGTCTCCTGCTGTCTCGCCTAACAGACTCCCAGGTAACTCAGGTCCGAGTTTTTGCTTCAAGTCCTTCTTTTGGAGTGCTATYTTGAGTCAATGGTGATATCATCTTTGGCACAGACAGCGCCTCATCCTGGCTGAATAAATCACAAGAGGGCTCCAGAGTCAAACTCCTGTCCTACCTTCTCCAGGTCAGGAAACGCTTCTCTGAATTGCACGAGTCAGGAAACGCTTCTCTGAATTGCACGAGTCACACGAGTAGGGCCGAAAGGGCTAATTTTTGTGTGTGTCAAAGCACTTGCGGCTCTTAATTTAGAAAGCCAAAGCTCAAACTTTTTGAAAATCTGGCCTCCCACCTACAGCACAACCTATCTGGTTGGCATGGGACAGCTGAGGCTCCCAGTCAGCCTGGAAACAACATTTTTGGACCTTTCCAGCAAGCAGGGCACTCAGACATGTTGCAGTGGGCTGCTTCCGGGCTTGATCCCGCTGGCGGCTAAATATGGTGGCCTTAATACCACAAAATATTTCAGCACATACTTAAGCTTAGCTCTGTAACACCAGAGAGGCATCAAAATGCAATTTAGCAGTAATCCCCCCTTTATGCCCTTTAAAGCATTTSTGCTGAAAGGCTCCATCACCAGAGGGATTTTATTGCTTAGAGTCGACCCCCCCAGCTACAAGAACGGCAGATAATGTGTATACTACTTTCCACATCAGGAAAGGATGCTCTCCAACAAATTAATTTACTTTAAAAACCATATATATCAAGGATAGACTTCACAACCAAGCGTTAATCGCAGCCTGTTCCTCAAGGCAGGGTTAGACACGGGCACAGAGCTGCCACCTCCTGGCCCCCCAGCGAGAGCAGCGCGTGGACCAGACAGCCCGATGCCAAGCCAAACATGCACCCACCAGCACCCCGTGTCCCCCGTAATGGGGCAGCCAGGGCAAGGCAGAGCCCCTGGGGTTCAGTAATGGCATAAAAACATATATCCTTTTCTGCATGGTGTTATGTATAACATACACTTATATCTCATGTGTCTCTTGTCAAGCTATTCTGAGCATAGAAGGTGGCCTTTAGACATATATGATGAGCTTTTTTTTTTTTTTTTTTTGGTAATCTATTATCTAATTGATAATACTATTCTAGGTGCAAATTAGTGAACAAATGTTTTATTACTTTCTATGAAATGTACTGTTTAGTAGGAGATGTCTGTTGAGTCATAAATGGCCATTTAGTAGCTATCCCATATAAAAACAAATATTTCTTTATGCGTTATCTAAGGAGATATATAATAAGATATATTATATATATATWTTTTTAAAAGTCTAATATATGAGARGAATAATACTGGAGACGCTATTATGTATTTCATATCCATGGATATGGTTCCGGTTTCACCGTATCTATCCTCCTTATAGCCAAGCCCAAATACCCAGGGATACGCAGTGCTGTCAATAATCCACATTTGCACACAAATCACGACCACTGATTAGTAAAGCAATTATCATATTAAAAGAGTTCAACAGGGCTCAACATACTGTAAAATTAGAAACCAGTCAATACGAGGGCCATTATAGAGAATATCATTGATTGGGTGTACTAAATGCTAGCCTTGATGACCATTGATCACAGTGAACCCCACTCACAAAGGAGCCCAGCACGCTAATTGAGGAGCCATCCTTAAACAGAATAATAAATCGAGGAGGAGGAGGGCAGCAGGGAAATGGCCACGCAGCTCAAATCCTTCATGGCTTTAATAAAGGCAAGCTAAATAAATACAGCTCGGAATGTGCTCACTAAATTCTAAGCTGACTTTTCAAAAACTAAATAATCCCCTCCCTGGGCACCTCCAGAGGCCACTTCAAAGGTGGGACGTGTGCTCCAAAGAGCGTGAGCAAACTGCCATTTCTTCACAGTCGCTTCCAAAAGCAAATCCTCCAGAAAGGCCACAAAACAGCAGTCCTGTCTGTGAAGATCTGCGATCTGTCTGCTTTGTCCTGCYCAATATTAGGCCTCAAACTACAGGCAACCTCCAGGACACGTGGGGTTTTTTTTTAGAGCCCCTTCAGGCTCAAATCAACATCAGGTGAAAGCTGCCCAGACRGCTTCCCTCCTTTTCTTCCCTCCATTCCTTTTGTAGCAAGCTTACAAGGAAGAGTTTGAGGTTGCATTTAGCTGGTCTTTTAATTTTCTAGCAGCCTTTAACTGGTYACTGTTTCCACTACAGCCTAAGGAACTGCAAGTTCAAAGCACCTCCCCAACGTGATCCTCCAAGCACTTGTTCATGCAGAGACATCCCCTCTCCCAAAACGGGAGCAAACAACATCCATGTACTGCGGGAATTAAGGAGTTGGCTACAAGAACTAAGCACAGCRAATGACGGCGGGCACAGGGCCTGCAAGAACATGCCAGGCTTGCAATCCTGCTTCTGTTGGATATTAAAACACAGAGGAAGCGCAGGGAGGTCAGACCTGCGGCTGATTCGGAAGCAGGTAGAGCACAGAACTATCTCCGCTCTTGGGGTGTCACAGGGCTAAGACGACCCAACCCCAAGCAAGCACAAGTTGGCAGTCATTTTTTTACAGGAACAATAGCTTCCTTCAGGCTATTGAGCTGGGAGTACTAATGTATTTTCCTGGAAATCTAGGGAAAAAAAAAATCATTAATTCATCAGTATTTAGGATGATTCTGCATTAAATGAAAGGCTGAGGGATSTGTAGGTGGGACACCTCTCCAGCACTGACTAGGTGCCACTAGGTGGCAATCATTGCACTCGTTATAAAGCACATTGCTGGGATATCAATAGATATCTTAACAAATTATGACTCATTTCTCATGGAGTGCAGGAGGTCATTAAGTTGCTTATTAGCAGATCTCTCAACCCCAGCAGCCTCGTGTATCTCCATAATAATTCCACTCCCCCCCACACACAGTTAACAGTCTGTAATGTGTTTTTTTTCTGAAAACTCTATGGAAAGCTCTGAACTTTTGATCCCTTCTGATATTTGGTTCAGTTAAAATTACTGGGCCTCCCGACATTGAAAGAACTTGTTTATCAAGCGGACACAGAGATATTAAGTCCAGGACAATCATCTACATGGAATTTACCTTACTCTGCTTCAGCAGCGGACAATCAAAAGCAGTTTCAGGCTGCCTAAACCTTTTAGCAAAGCAGTGCAATATATTTGTAGAATTAAACTCTAAACTCTCCAGGGCTGGGCAGTTTGCGAGTCTCTGTTTGTGCAGTGCTGTGCATATAGTTGCCATGCCACATCTGCCACCTCCAGCGAGACTCAGGCAATGAGCTGCTGTAAGGCAAACCTCATGAACTGTCCTCACCGCCTCATCTGTCTTCCAGCAATTTAGGCAGAGCAAAGTCATGTCTATTTGTGTGTGCTTCATTAGTGACATTCAGATCATGAAAAAAAGACAGATTCCTCCTAGCGAGAGCTACTCAAAGGGAAAGCAAACATTTTATAGAAGGAAATTCTAAAGGTGGCTGGAATATTTACATCTCACATGCCTTAAGAGCACTCACATGAATTCTTTGTGCAGAGCGGGCTCGCCAGAGAGCCATCGGCAGCTTTCACAACCAGTGATGAGACAAGAAGGCAGCTAGCCATAAATGAGTCCAACAGATGTTAATAGAGGGCATGACAGAGTTCTCTTTAATTCATGCAACACATAAAAACAGATGTAGAAAGGGATACAGCAAATCCAGAAGTCAAGACACAATGCAACAACACGGTACATTTTTCTATCATATCGTCCTTTCTTCAGATTAATTTATCCCAGTGACAAAACTGGGAATCTGGGACACGTTATTTTTACGCTATTTTTACAGCTGCTCCTCTGCTTTTCAGCAGGACCCTTGAGCACTTCCTACCTTGCAGCTCCTCATCTTGTAACGTGACGAGCAAGGTCTGCAATTGCTCCTTTTCCTGAGACCGCCAAAGCTTCATCTCCAACTTCCAACTCCAAAAATGTATTTCAGTGAACTCCTCAATGGCTTCTGACATCAGCAGGGTTTATCTCTAATGTACCCCAGTGCCTCTGGCTCACAGGAAAACTGCTAAAACAAATTGTTACTATAGGCTGGGAGAATGGAGATGTTTTATGAAGAGCTAAGAAGTTAACATCTCAGTTTTCAACGTTACCTCAAAAGATCAGAGAATTGGTGTTCTAGTCACACCTACTAATTTTATTGCAGAGAGTTCTCAACATTGGAGAGAAATAAAAAAATACATTATAAATCTTCCTATTTATAAACATACATTATTACTTAAAACACAACACTGCTTATGGCTTCTCTGCCATGTTGTATGCAACCTATCTTACAGGGGCACCTCATAAAGACAGGAGGTTTACTAGAAAATATCGCTCTGTTTCTGGATAAAACCTGAGGGGAAAAAATGAGGTAAAATAAACGCCATTCAATGCACATTTCCATTTCCCACTGCTCCATTTTCTACTACTATCCGACAATACTTTTTCTGTTGCTCCTCCTTGAAAGACTCTTTGACCTTTTTCCTTTTCAGTCCTCCATCCCTGGAAGATACAGATTAAAAAGCAGCCTTGAGTTTATTTCATGGTAAAGGTGGATAAAGTTTACAATATTTAGATTATATCGTCAAATTATTATATAGTGACAGCAACTTTCACCTTAACATCACTTTTTCAGCACAACGCTAATGATGTGTATGGCCAAGATTTATTACTAAATATAAACAATGTTTTTCTTTTAATTTTCATCAAATTCTGCGTGCTGCCTGGATCCACATTCTGACAGATTTGTTCCTCTTTTTAAACTGTGTTAGTTTGCTTATTTTAGAGGAATTCTTCAGGCAATGAGAAAATCCTCTCTCCAAGTCAATAAGGGTGGTGGACTACAACCAAAACAAGGCAAATTTAGAAGAAACTTTAAAAGCTTCCAGACTTGTAGGGCAAACTTCCAGATTACCGAACACCTAGCCATGTTTCAAGGCCAACTTGAAAGGGTGTTGCTTCATACCAAGGAAGTACAGACATCCCTCCCTGAGCAGCAATGACAGCCTTGACTCTGTCAGCAAAGTGAACYGCATCTTCTTCTTCCTGAAAGAGAAAGAAATGAATTGCTTTACATGTTTAACACGTTCTCTGCACCTTACTTGAAGGGATACTCCTTGCTGGGGAGCAGGCTTTGAGAGGTTTATGCCAGGCCCAAAGTTGACCTGCAGAGCAGTTTTTGGGGAACCTGGCGAGTCAGCCCACGGGGTTTGCAACCATTCAGAACTAAAAGGAAGCAGGATGCTCTGCAACTCTGGTTACCTCATCTAATATCCTCAGCTTACAGGCAGAAAACCTCCCAGCCCTGGCAGATTCAGCCTAGACACTGACATCCCTAGGAAAAGGTAACATAGTGCATCTTAAATTAAAATAACAAACTTCTGGGCCAAACATCTGTCTTCACCATCTCATGCCTACTGCTGTCCCCGCTCAAGTCTATTCAAATTAAGGTCAGTTTCTTTCCCAATTTCTAAGATGGATTCTGTATAAACCCAGCTGCTATAAAAGTTATCAGCTTGGGGAAACCAAGAATTCTAACAAGACATAAGCGAGGGAGGAGATCCTAGCTCTTCTTCCACAGCTTTTCGTCCTTGGCAACATTAGCTGTGCTAAGGCATCTTTTCACTGCAGCAAGCAGGTAGGAACAGCGAATACTCTCGAGCTGCCCAACTGTAAGTGCTTGGGGATACCAACATGCACAGATAAACAGATAAATAGTGTGGAAAGCCTATAGCTCTCTCACGGGCTTTATTTACTCCAAGGGTACACCAAGGAAACCTCTCCCCTGTAGAGGCAAACACAGGGCTGCATTTAGGCTGTTTCCACTGTCCTACCATGCTGCATTTTCTCATTTCCAAGCTTGCCTTAATTTTAAGACCACAGTGTCATTTCTGCCTTTTGTCCGCAAGGTTGTCATGAAAAATCAAAACCAGAATGCCCCTTCCCAAGACTCCTCCCAGAACCTTTCCCCAGAAAACAGTTACAAGCATCTCCAAAACACACAGAAGCACAAGTACCTCTTTGACCATTGGTGGCAGGTACCACACATTGCAGACAATAGCCCAACTGGTCAGCAGTTTAAAAGCATAAGTCATCGTGGAGTATTTCATGCTGTTCCAGAACGGATCTCCAAAGCGAGGGTCATACTGGAACATAGGAACAATAGGCTGAAGGGCATGATCTCCTATATAAGCCATATGCAGAGATGTACATGATGTATACGCAGAAGTAACAGCAATCAGAGATCAGCCTGAGATTAGAGAATCACTTCAAAGATGAAAAAGCAAAAGGATACTCAAAGAAGGATTTGTTTTAAGACTTGACACTTGACTCACAGGATTAGTTTTAAGACTTGACAATTGAGAGGCACAAAAAAACCCAAACTAGTACATGCAAAACAGGAGTCTGTCCTGGACTACACACGCCCTACAGCTGGACCTGAGTTGAACCACATAAGTTGCTCTTTTTGGCCAYGAAGTCACAGCTCAGCCTCTTAAATCTAATTTAAAAGGGGCAAATCTAATCGCACTCCTAGAAGTAGCAATAAATGCAGGCTSAAGCTCCATGTTTTCACTTTTAATAGAAGTTAATAAAAGTTAACCTTTTAAAATAAGAGCCCAAACTAGGACAACCCCATAGAAACAAATCTCAACTATAACCAGATACATCCACTCAAAAACAAAGCAAAAACTCGTAGTGATGTCTATACCTGCAGATATACTGTCTACAAGGTTTGCTTGATAATGCTCACAATACCTGCAACTGATGTTGTCTAATCTCATGGATTAGACAACATCATAGCTGCAGGAAAAAAATAATACATTCAGAGGTAGAGATKGCACCAAGGCTACTCAGAAAGCTCTGGAAATGGCAAGAAAATAATCAATTTACAGTCCCRTGCTTTCATGAAGAGAAGTGAAGAGAGAGTCAGGAGCCCCCGGACGAAAAGAGCAGAGAAAGCTTGGGAATGGGAGATCCATTACCTTGATTGCTACTGGATGGATAGTCCCTCCCACCTCAAAGCTTCCCTTCTTAAACATCATGACTGAGGTGTTATTTATGCAGGTACCTGGCCAGAATTAAAACAGGTGAGGAGTTTATCCATYCCAATAAAAGCATCAACAAATCGAGCAGAATTTGCCTCAAGGAGAGTTCAGTTGCTGGAGGATAAAGCCCAGAGTCTGTTCTCTCTTCTGCTACCCAAACCAAATACATCGTCATAAAACTGGGGTGAAGTAATTGATTCTGACTTTTAATATCTCACAAGAGCTAATTAATTCTAAAGAATAAAAATAATAAAATAAAAGCTTCATTGTAAAGGTCAGGTGTAAGAAACTGCACATGATATTAGGAAGTGAGCACAGTAAAAATCAGTAAAATCTGTGTAGTTTTTCTTACCTTCTGGAAAAATTAAAATGGGCAATTTGGTCTTATCTGCAATGTGCTCTCTAATTCTGTAGAAGCAAAAATAGAATTCAAGGGTAAATTCCACTTTCCCAGACAATCCTCTCATTCATACTCAGCCACGAATCTCAACATACGCAAGCGCCCAAATATGACAAGAAAAAGCCACAGCCCAACTGCTGCCCGCCAGTCACTAGTTGCCACCAGGGTAGGAACTGCTGCAGTGCTTCACCCGGGGGGTTCTCTTGTCAACAGCCTAAAGAGCTTTTCTGCCAAAGCCAAGAGCTATCCTTTTATTTCAAACATTTTAACACAGTTAAAACACAGTTAACAGTGAGACTTGAAAGACACGAATTACTTCCTGATTCTCTCTGACAGGCTCCAGCTAGGAAAAAAGGCAATTTTTTCTATTGTCTAAAGTAGAGCAGYGTTCCATGTTTCAAGATTTCATGTTTTCCGTCTTCTAAGCATCAGTTTTATCTATACTTAGTGATTCTCTTCATCTAGATAAGAATTCTGACAGCCTTCTACTACATTTGGTGCATTGTTTACAAATAAGTATATTACCACTATGTAGAGGACACTTACTGACACACAAAATTAGCTTTCCAAGACATATATCCTCTTTCCTAAGAATCAAGAGTGTGCAGTTTATCTCCAGGTTCCTTTTCTAAAGGAAACTGGCTGCCACAGACACTTGCTTGACAGTAGCTGCACCTCATCCTCTTTCATGAAGATGAGCAATGGCCGGAAACAATTGACAATTACAACTTAAACACGCTGACAAAACTTGAATTCCTGTCCTGCCGTCCTGAGTTATCAGCCTTGAATTTGAGGCAGGCAGGGTGGCCACGGAAATGCAGGAATTCCCAGAAGCTACGAGGCAGGAGTCCGCAAGGGGCTTGTTACATCTTGGGCCAAAGGTGACGGAGCAGTTACACAGCTTACGCTGATGACAACCTACAGTTGCCCAGCAAGAGGAGAGGCAGARTCAGAACATTCTGAATTCACACTTATGGCTCACAGTTTCTAAACCTCACGGGACAATTACCACCTCGCTACCTTACTTTTTTCTCACCAGGTGACGGTCTTTCATTTCTGAACGTTCAAACAAAACATGCTGAGCGGTTTTCATGCAAGATTTCTGAATAAGTCCCAGAAGCCCTCCGTGTACCTGGCCAACCTGCAAGCCCCAAACAAACTGGTTACTATGCAAACACATGCACACATTTAAAAGATAGAGTACTGCAAGAAGACGTATTTCTGAGCCCATTCACACGTGATCCTGGTGCTCTTGGTCAAAACTGTGTCCACACCTACCTGCGTTCATCACTCTGCGGTCCTGAAAGGGAGAATCTGAACCCCGCTCCCTCTCTCATACCCCACTTTCTCTACCCATAAGCATGTGATCTCATCCACCACATCTCTGTGGGCATCTCAACAGTGCCGCTCGTTAACGATTCTCGYGTTCATACCAAAGAATAGCATCCATCGCTAGCCAGGATTAGGACATCTAATGGAGACGTGTGGTTGGCTACGCAGATGCCTCCTTTCTGCGGTCTGTTTTCCCTGCAATGACAACCGTACAAGGAATTACTTGAGGTTTATCCTCCAGACCCCACCAAGAAATCCACCTAGCCAACGTACACCAGCCACAGAAACTCTCAGCCATAGAGGCATTTCACACATGCAGCACATCTGCAGCACATCTGCTARGAAGCAGAAGAATGCAAAACATTATTCAAATAAGAATATTACTATCACACAAATTAGAACTTCTGGCAGTACGGTATAGTGGATAACTCCTCATCTCTTGCCTCATTCTTTAAAGTATCCTTCAGAATTCATTAGTTTGGGCATTTCAATAAATTCCTTATTTCTGTGTATTAGTTTCCTCATAGCTTCTCATTCCTCATAATCAATTTCTCTGCAAAGAAATTTTGGTTGCATACGTTACCATTCAGAGAGGCATATATTAAAGACTACTCAGACACTGAAACTCTGAGTTCAGGCATATTAGAGCACGATTTTTTGTTGTCTTCCCAAGAAAAACTAAGCAAGATATTAGGAAGTTTTACTGAAATACCATCCACAATGTACTCTGAGAAAGGGCATGGAGGACTATTTAGTGAAMTCAGCTAATAAAACCATTGTAGGTTCTGAGAAATATGTCCAAGTTTAAATTTAAACAAGTATAGAGCATTATTCCACCTTTGCATTCCCTGCAAACACACCACAGAAAACACAGTCGTGGCATCAAAATGCCTTGAGAGMAAGGCAGATAGGGTTTAGATTATCTAAATTCCCGAATCTAACCTCATCCATCATACTACTTATGCAATTATGGAATAAAAATCCCCCTCTGAAATTCGAGATGCTTGGGACCACGGAGTGGGCCTGACCAAGGAGGAGCTGAGACGAGCCTGGCACCACTCACCTGTTGTGGAAATGAACGGCCCCGCTCAGGCATCGCACCCCTAACGCAGCACACGTCATCTGCACCTGGTTGCTCAGCCAGCATTTAACCCTGCAAGAAATAAACCCTTGCATCCCTTTGCACTTCTCTGCATTCACTCAGAACACAGCATCAGGGAAACCTCCCAACTTACCCCAACAGGGTTTTTTTTTATTTTTGCAAAACACCCCCCCCAAGCTGACTTGTAATTATAACAGTCATGCCTAACAGAACGAGCTAACTCGTCATCCAAGATATTGTTGACTGCATCCCTCTGTTCAGGTTTATTATAAAATCATCAGATTCAAAGCAGAGGGAATTCAAGCAGGAGTTTTGATCTACAGATTTGCTCCGGAAGAAACTGCTTTTAATTCATTCATTAGCATTCATTAAATATAGAAACACTGAGCTGGTAAATCACATTTGAGTTGTTTACACTGGCAGAACTTAACAACCTCACAGCACTAATACTGGGCCGCTCATGACAATATTTACTTGCCCTGTTCTGAGGCAAAGAATTTTCCCCTGCAAAACACAGCATTTTCTTTATTTTCCCCTGCAAAACAMAGCATCCCTCTGGGTTACCCCAGCAGCATCTTTCTGCCTTGCCCTGCAAATCCACTTTTGAATCCTATTACCTTGCAGTACTCTGTGAGTTTACAGCAGAAAAATAACACCCCACAGTCTTCCACAATTAATCCTCTCGGCTCAAGCAGAATTATATTCTAATGCCCTAATTCAATTATTTGAAGAAAYGCAAGAGAAACGCAACGAGCTCTCGGCACACATTTACCTGCCATTTGGAAACTGTCCTACAAGTGTGGTTGCTGAAACCAGGAAGAGGATACTAAAAGAAGACAAGCCGATGCTACAAAGTAAAATAAACCTCTTAGTTGATGGAAAGCAGCAAACTAGAAGATCAAGCAAAAAAAAATCTTTTAATCCCTTTATCCTTTCTAGTATGCTTCTCTCCGCCACTAGCGGCATCTAATTAGCAACACAAACCCATTAAGTCCAAAGGGATAACAGGAACCATAGATTTGCATTCACTTAATCCTGCATTGAATCCAAAACCTTCTGTATGCCTGGAGCACATATTGCAAAAAGCACCACGGCTGGAGCTCAAGCTGTCAGGCAGTAAAGAATCCACCAAGTTCTATGAGGCTAAATACTGGCTGTGTGATTCTTTAAAGTAGCTAAGATTATATTACAAAACACAAAGCAGAGACTCATTTAGTTTTTAAAAATGTATCTAGAAATGTCAGGACATATTTCTGTACTGGACAGAAACTTACCACATAATCATGAAAATTAAATATCATTATTTACTAATGATGAAGCAAAACAAATACTGAAGACATTTCTGCACGAAAAGCTGTCTCATTAAGCGGTCAGTCTAAGCTTACACACAGGCACATGTACTTCAATAAGAAGGGTACTGATCTAAGACATGAGAGTTTTTTAACTATTTTCTAGCTTAAAAGAAACGAGAGCCACAAAGTCATGCCACRCTCTCATTTCTGCACTAATCAAAACCACATCCTGGATCTTTTGCAAGAAGTGACAGARCAAAACAAACAAGAAACTCCAGCTAATTGCATCCGGCTCACCGAAGAGGCAACAGGAGACAGTACCGGATTAGGATCCCACTGATCCACACGAAGGTCAGTTGCCAGCTGACCTGGTGGAAGTTGACATTAGTTCTGCTAAGGAGGTTCCAGGAGACCAGCTCCTCGGAGGAGAAGCGCCGCGTGACTTCATCATCTGCAACAGCCTCCAAGCCCTTCTTGGAGAAATACAAAACATCAGCCAGGCTGAAGCATCCTTGCCGCTGGCCGGCCATCTCCTCTTCCATGGAGGTTTCCTCCCTCTGGATTATTCCTTAATAGTGAAAAGCAAACAAGAAACACCCGCATTAGGAAATGAGGCTTCCTTCCACACACAAAAAAAATGGACAATCGAATTTCTAAAAAAGAAGAAAATACTCCTCGTTTTTAGGAGTAGTTCCGTAAGCACGCGCAGCAGTTGCATGGGTACGTTTGGTTTGTGGACCGGCTGTTAACCCCCAGGTTGCTTCTCTAACCCTGTGCCCTGTCATGTCTCACATTGTAGAAGAGTCAAGCATTCAGAGGGGCTGCCAGTAAAACCCCGAGCGCGACATCTTCTTCATTATCCTTTAGCAGACAGCCTTGCATTGCCAGGATTATAGGTCCCGYTCTTGCTGTGATGCAAAAAGTCAGGCAGTGTTTGTTTTGTTGTTGGGGCCTCATTTATTCTTTCTTACGTTACACCTTCCTGTAATATGTTTTCCTTTCTCCCCCTCATCCTCTCCCCTTTTTGAGTCACTTCACCTCCCAAAATTATGAAGTTGACCACGTTTTCCCCACAAATACATTGGAAAGCAAACAACACTGTCAGGAAGGATACTGTTAGGATCATCAGATCCTAAAGCATTCAGCTGACAAACTGGACAATCCGCCTTGGATTCCTATGACTGAAAATGCCTCTAGAAGGAAAAGGATCATTGTGAGACTTGGAGCCAGTCTCTTTCTCTGGGAAAAATAATAAATAAAGGAAACGGGAAGAACAGTAGGAAAACAAAACTCTACTGTCTTTCAGTTCTATCCACACACCTAGAGAAGAGGTCAAGCTGTAACAGTGATTCGAGGGCTGATGCAACCACTTAAGACTCAGTCTTTTTACATACTAGGGGTAATCAGAGGAACAGAGAACCTGCAAAGAGAAGTGTCAGGTGCCAAAAACATCCATTCCTCCTTCTAACCCTCTGAAGAGAGAAAACTGATGCAGTCAGCAAGTACAAAATCCCTATARAAGGGGAGAGAGCTTCCCAAATAACTATCAGCGATGTCTTTCTCTCCCCACACTGCTCTCTCGACTGCCTGCTATGCAGAAGATTCAGCAACAGGCGTCTTGCTTATAACACTTWGTCTCTTTGATTCATTTGCTCACTGAACTCCACTTTGGTTTCGCTCTGGTTTTCTTCCTTAACTTATCGGATCCATTTGAGGTTTCTGTCCTCTCTTTCCTGGCTAGGACTTTGGAACAGCTGCCATTTTACCAGGTGAACATGGCCGTGTCGCTCCACGCAAAGCTCTTACCGTTGGAGATTAAGTTTTCAAGTGCCAGCGCCTTCTGCTTTTTCACTCCCTTCTCAATCTGCAGGGTGGCCCACTGTTCCCAAAACGAGAAAAGCAAATGTTGATGGTTATTATTTTGACAGTGCCAGGTATGCTGTAAAATCCCTTTGTGACTTGTCTGAGCCTTTCTTACTGAAGCCCTGGCTTGGAGTTCCACTGATTTTTCACTTTCAGCTGTAAGGCTGTCATGCACAACACCTTTCATTTGTTGTATTGATTACCTTTTGCCACTGCCAAGGGAAATTATTTGGTTCAAACTTGTATTCAGAGCTCATGCAGGTCTTGGTTTTAAACCAGATTACTGAGCTGTCTGAGAGATTCCATGAGGTCCAGAGCCCTCTCCTCCCTATTCAGCTTCAGGCAAATGACACAAAATACTGTCCCTGAGATCAGAAGCATTCGGAAACAGAAGACCTTAAAATGCCTTTTAAAGAATAACAGAGATTATCTCAGCCGAGGGGCACTCCCACAGTTTGTGTTAACAGAAGACAAGGAGAGGAAGGGGGCACTTCTTGTTGAATAGTGCTTTTGAGGGAGAGGTCTAAGTAATGAGCATTCGCCCTTCCCTGTCTTTATGTTTTTGAGCTGACCCTATTTGCTCCCCCTTGGGCAAACTAGCACAGAASTCAATTAGCAAACTCAAATATACCAGGAAAAAAACCAAAAGCCTTTCCTACGATACATGCAGCACATCACAACATCTCTTATAAATACACAAATCCTATAAAGACCATTTGAAATACTATTGCCTATTTCTTAAGGTTTTATGTTGCCACAGAGTGGAGTAATAAATACATGTCAGCAGTAGCACTTTTCAATACCACCTCTTCCCATACTTATCTTAAGGTGTCTGTCCTAACAGCATCCAGGAGCCTTGTGTGGGCTCTGCTCGTGATTAAGAAAGCGACTACCCACTCATCGCGTACCTTCAGCTGCCAGAAGACCTCCCACCCACAGCAGGTGAGGATCTAGCCTGCTGTTTCAGAGCAAGCTCTTGCCAAACTGTTTCTTTCCCCTCTTACTGACGTGCACAGCCACTGAATTCATCCCAAGTCGTTTCCACYATCTTTCAGACTTTCAATTTTGCACGTGCCCACAACCCGGAACAGATTTGTTGACATCCTTGGGCTTTGTGCATAGTCTACAAGTTATGGAAGATAATCCTGAGGGAATATGAAACACAGGGATATTGCACCAGGAGCTCCAGCAGTGAGCAGCTGAGATTTAATCCTGGTAGTACTGCATATGTTCACCTGCTCTGAGGCTTCTAGGTCAAGCTTTGGACCAACCCAGTGAAGCAGTTTTTAACCTTCTTATGCCTTTGGTGACATCCTTCCATTTCAGCTGTTTTTGAAACCYACAGCAAGACCTGCCGATTGCCGTTGTTTTGCACAGGATTGAGACAGAGCAATCACGCTCGTCTGGGTTGAGACACTAATGAAAGGATGTTTTAAATAGCTTACAAAACCACAGATGTTGCAACTAAAGCAGAATTTAACTGTTCAATGGAGCAACTTCATTCCCAAGTTTGCCAACTGAATAAGGAAAACCCAGGCACYGTGCCTTCCTCCCTCCTCTTTCTGAAGGATGAGGGCACAAGACGTCTCAACATCCCTCACCTTAACCCCAGCTCGAATACTGACACCTCAGAGCAGCTCACCTGTTTGAAACTCCCCGTAATTACATTCCAAACAAAATGAGTGTGTACAAGACTTCATTATAATAATTATTCTCTTCATAGTACATGAAGAATAAGAGCTACACAATATGAAATACTCACTTATACCCCCGTGCTTGTCAGAAGAGGAGGTGCAAGCTCTGATAGTRTGTTTTGAAACAGTGGAAAGGATTCAGAAGTCTCCTGGCTGCCCATCAGAGGGCAGATAAATCAGTTCAGAAGGGTTCCAGATGTCTGTCCAGATTTCTTGGTGCTGTGTTGGGATGATTTCTTCTGTGTTGCAGTGACTAGTTCAGAATAATTGTGTACTTAAAAGCATAAGCCCTTGATCAGCTCCTGCAAACCTTCCCAAAACTCTCCTGTGGGACAGATCTGGACTTGTGGGGTTCTCAGCCCTCTAGCAAAACACAACAGAGCTGGAAGAGGTTTGAGACAACCCAGCAGCCACTGTCCAGAAGCAGATGTCACTTGGCGTGCACAAGAGCGGCCTGACAGCTCTGCAGCTGGGTGAAGCAGTGCTCACAGGTGGGAGGCTGGAAATTTTCCTAGGACTCACTCTCCAGACCRGGAATAGGGCACCAGATTTCAACAGTTTTACAGGGAGGTTCTCAGAAAACGCTCTAAGAAATATGTTTTCTATCAAAATATTACCTGAGATTCTAGTAAGATGCAGTAAGGGCAGTGCTGCTTTCAGTCTGTTTCCAAGCACGCTTCCTAGCTGCCCACAAGAACTGGATGGTACTGTATTTATTTTATACTAGCCAGCMTTTTATTGCTACACCATCTACCCAGCCTCAAAAACAAACAAACAAAACGCTGATTTTTCCAGTCTCTAGCCTCCCACAGTAGGCCACCATTTCTCATTGCTCAAAAATGGTGCTGATAACTTGAACCTGGTCTTAAGAGACCTGGAGCCCCCAGGAAATTTAGACGGGGCTAAAGATATTCTTGCTTTGCAAACAGAGCTTTCAGAGAAATACCCTTGGACCTTATACTCCTTGATTTTAATATCTACTCTTTTATTTCTCTCAGACTTAAATGAGATATGGATTTGATCAAACACAGATTGTCCCTGCCTCTCATGTTATGTGGGCAGTTAAAGCTGTGCAAAGCAAATATGAAGTGCTCTCAGATCAGAATGGCTTCATTTTCTACTCTTTTTTTGTTAAACTACATAAGGGACGAAATCAAATGCAAGACAATGGAGAATCCAGTGGCTATTTCAATAGGTTTTTGTTTTTCCTTTTTCCTGAGCAAAATATCAACTACTTGTTGAATACTTCCCAGAGCAGTGACATTCCTGAGACATAGTCCATAWTACACCAGTATGTGATTGAATGTGTGCTATAACTTTTTTTTAAACAGTTATCTAGCAAGGCATCAAATTTTGCTATTCAGGTTAGCCACAGGAACCAAACAGCCTTTGTGCCATTGCTAATGAGCGAGATCTCGGGCAACCAGATACAATCCCAGCCAGAAACAAGCTGACCCTTGGCCAGACTATCCATGTCAAGTGACAATTCTGGACCAGAAGGTCAAATAAGCATCTAAGCCTGCTCAAAGCAAACTGCATTTCAAGCAGTGGTTTCAGAAAAACGTGATCCACTGCCAAAGCAAGATACCTCTTAGCTAGTCTTGTGTCATACTGAGAAGTACTTTGATTAAGACCTGGGAGAAGACAGCTGCAATGAATCAGAAGGTGAAAACAGGGGGAAAAAAAAAAAATATATATATATATATATATATATAATTATCTAACTGTCCTGAAGGCAAAATAACTTTGAACTGAAAAACAAAACAAAATAAAGACCACATGGAACCAACCAGAAGTACAACACATTATGTTGTGCTCTTTCCTTTATTAGCTGCTGCAAATTGGGCAACTATGTATATAAGCTTGTATCTGATCTCAGAACTGTTAATTTGATTGCATATACATATTTTAATAAATTCCTCCTCCATGTGGGGAGGACCAGATAATCCTGCTTGCAACCTGTTAAGAATGGACGACAGAACAAAAATATTTAGCATCATCATCAGGAGAGAATTGCCTGCTGATAGTCGATGCCCAGTCAGTGGGTCAAAATTCCTTTCRAACAGGGAAAGGCATAAGAAACGACAAAAATTGCAGAGATATCTGCAGACTGCAGCTGCAAAGCTGCCCAGCGAGCTCCTCGGGTTTGTGTTTGATGTGAGCGCGCCTGATGAAATCAGTTGCACACAGAAGTGCCACAAGCCTCTCTCTCCGGTTGCCAGCAAGAATTCAATCAGCGTGCTGCTAGCTGATAGAAAACCAGCACCTAAGAAAGCCAGTGTCACTCACAGTGGCTTCAAAGTCAACATAACTCAGAGCCAGTCAATTCCCATTGATAGGAATATCCAAAGATAGAGGCAAGCCTTGAAGTTTGCAGGCCTGACTCAAGTGCTACTGTGCTAGAGGATGTAAAAACAGTTGCAGACAGTCTCTGAGCAAGAGTTTTTAAACCAGTATGGAGGGGGTGGGCAGACGTCCAAGAGAGCTACAAGACAGAGCTGGGGAGATCAGATGGATGTGCCACGAGCATCAATAGGGATATTTTCTRCTGCACAACTAGATGGCTCCGATAGTTTAATGATAATAACAGTAACAACAGTAATAATGCATTTTCTGCAACAGCTACAAAAGTGTATTCGTTAGAAGAAACCAAATAGAATTCATCTACAGGAAAGGTGAAATACTTCTCTGTTCAAGATAATGAGATCACAGCACCTGCTTTTGGCCACTGACAGATATGAAAAGTCAGGTTTCAAATAAATACAATTCTGGYTTCTTAAAGCCAGTGATATCCCTAGCATCACCAATAATGTTGGCAAAATCAGGGTCTTAACCACGACCTATGTATTCATCTATAGAAAAAGATGCACGTTTAGAAGACAGCCTGGATTCCTCAAGTCTTGTACAACTGAACGTGTGACTGACAGCTGAATCACCCGGACATATAAATGGAAAACGCAGACCTACACCATTGGTATTTTTTCCACAAACAGCATTCACTAGTACTACCTGACTAAAATAGTTCAAATAAAGCCATTAGAACTTATATACCTCTAAAATACATTTTCTTGTTAGCTACAACCTCCCATAAAGAAATAGATGCTTTCACTGAGATTTGCTAATTAATACACCGTGAAGCATTCTTACTTACAAAGGCACCATATTGCAGAATCTCGTTTTTAACTGAAGAGCACCTCAAGTTAGTGCTGGATTGCAGCCCTTCACATAACTGGGTATCACTGAATGCCCCATTTGAAGGAGCTACAGCATCAGTACAAGCTATAAAAAGCACATTCAAGACTCCCCAAATTCGCAGAAGTCTCTCTGCTGACTTTTACACCACCTATATCCAACACCCCATTTCATTAAGCACGTCTCGCAGTCAACACGTACCTTTTAACTCAAAACTCAACTTACCTCGAACGTTTTTATTACAATTTTCACATAGATATGAGAAATCCCCAGCGACACTCTAAGCATCGAAGGCAACAGGACTAGCACCAGAAACAGAATCGGCAGGACCAACAAAATCTTGCCTTCCACAAGACTGGAGCCCCCTCTATGTTTTTCCATGTTCGCTCCTTCAGAATGCCAACCTGCTGCCTTTTGGCCAATATTTAGTCATCTGTAGTGCAGAATCCAGCCAACTTCAATAGACAAAGAGATAGCACACATCCTAAGAGCCAAAACCATCCCCAGGAGAAGGCTGCTGCCCTCTGAAGGATGCCACCTCTGATACTGTCAGTGATAACAATTTTCACTCTTGATCCCGCCCTAACTCCACCCACTTCCTTACCATCAATAAGCATTTACTCATCAGATATAATTCAGGGGGGAAGAAAGAACAGATAAATAATAATATACATCAGCTAATGCTAATAAGACGCTGTCAGTAAGGAAACTTGTCAATGTGTCAACTAGTTCTCACAAGATGTCTCTCCAGTAGCTTACAGAGCAAAATGTGGCTTCCAGACCATCAAAAATGTTATCTTTTAAATCTAATTTAATACATGTAACACTTCTGCCAAAGCAGTTTAATCAAATTAAGAGTTTATTTGTTCAGGTTTTCTACTGCATGGCAAAATGGCAGCTTTGCTTGGGTAATTGCTCAAAGGAACCCAACTGAAGCTTTAGAGGTGTTGTCAGACTAGTTCATTACCTAGTCTCACCTGTGAGATGGAGACACAAATTGCGGCAGGTATGAATCAACTATCCAAGGGAATAAAACATGCTTCCTCCGTTGCTCGTTGGCAAGAAATTAGCCAAAATGTATTACAGCGTTMGATAACACGTGGCAATGACTTAACTAGTCACCTTATCTCTGAATCTATTCAACTGCACAAGTTCAATGTGCTGACTAAGTGTAAGTTTCTCCTTTTATTCTGTGGAGGGCCAATAATTCAATTCAGTATTTTTGGAACGTCCAAGTTCAGCCTCTCACAGCCAACCCTACCCTATCCATTAATAGGTCACAGAGGAGAAATTAAGCTGCCTAATGGTGTTCCTAGGGCTTAAGAGGCTGCTCATGTATAATCTTACCACAGAATAAACCATTTTTTGGTGAAACTACAACTTCCAAATATCACGGGGGCCTGCAGAAGGTTTTCCCTTGGAGTGTGTCTACATTAGCATTTTTGTTTGGATCAGGGGCAGTGGTTTTGAAGCAAGTTTCACCATCATTCCCAAGTACCACTGCTTGGTCTCCGTTGTGACCCTGGCACACGCGAAATGGATGTTTTAGGGATGAAAGGAAATGCAAAGCCCTCTAGAGAAGGTACCTAATACCTGTACCTAATACATTCCAGGCACTAATAGGACACAAGGATCAGAGCAGGCTGCACTCCTGCCAAGTCCTTCAGAGTGCAGCAAGCTCATGTGACACCATAACACGGTCCTCATGCCATTTAATGTGTCCTACAGGTTTTGTACCTTCAGATTCCTGCCCTCAGGTCTTTGCAGCTGCTCTGCATCTTCCTCCTAACTTGTCTTCTGCCTCTTTCTCTTCTTTACCTGCCCCACCTTCTTCCCCTTTGCTAACTCTCTTCTGCTTTGTCTATGAACCCTTCCTGACTGGGAATATCCCAAGAGAATGTCTCAAGCCCCCCAGGCTTCCCAAAAGACTGGTGCTGCCACGAACCCCACTGTCAACTCGTTCCCACCTGTCTCACTAAAAGCTACAGCCCACGCTGGCCTTCTTTAGGGATAAAGTTGCACTGGTTATTGACAGCTTTGCTTACCCATTTCGGTTTAGTCGTCACTCCTCGGCGTCTGGCTGGTGGCCGCTTCCTCCTCGGCACTTGGCCATCCTAACCCACGTTCCCTGGCACGGCACAGGCAGTGAGGAAGAGGAAGGGGCGCTGGTGGTCCGGCACAATGCAGCATCTCCCCATAGCTGCCTTCAGCACCAGCCCAGGAATTTGGCTGGCAGATAGTCCAGGCGCTCAAAACCTTGTGGGCGGGAGGGCGGAGGTACTTTCTGAGACCTGATTTGAGGCAGGAAACATCGCCAAATGAGRTCTTGATAGTCCACCTGGGAGCAACAGGAAGGTGTTCCTCTTAAAGGAAATTCCCAGCAAAAAGACTAGGAACTGGGAAAGGAAGAGCATTTATTTAAAGAAAGGGAAGCACAGACTCCCTTTTGGAGAGGAAGAGAAGGTTTCCTCTGCTGAAGGAGGGAGAGTTAGTTTTCTGCCCTGCAAAACCTTATTATCTGCACTGATTCTCTAAGCCCTTGCTGAGGTATGTTCCCTAAGCCACAACAGGAGCACAAACAGGTACTGTTTGCCAAAAGAATGAAAACAAAAACAAAAACAAAAACAAAAAAAAAAAAAGAAAACAAAGCAGAAAGCCAGCCAACTCCTCCTGGGCTCGGCCCTCCACCTGGCTGTACGATGACATCCGCTTTGCACCTGCTGAAATGATGAATCATTTGGGTTTTCTTACACTGCTAATGCACTCCTTTATGTTGCACGGTTTGGAGAGGGGGCTTAAAAACAAACACCAAAAGTAAGGAAGTGGAGCCTCCACATCTATGTATTTACAGTATAGACTAGAAACTGTGATACAATGAAAACATAGCCTCCAAAAGCAGTACAAAAATGAGTGTCAGTACTGAAATCAACTCAGGAAGCCAGGTCCAAGTTCAGCTTCAGTTAACTAAGCTGTCCAAAGAGCTGCAAAGGTGTTGAAAACATCCTTCTGATGGCAGGATCCTTCTGATCCTTTACTCCTGAGCTTTTAAAAACACACGCGCACCAAGAAGAAATCCAACCCAGAAGAACAGCATGCTGCTGACAAAGGAAGACTCAGGAGTAAAAGTCTTGAAACACTTGAAACACTGCAGCAATTCTGACATCTCGAGGCACTATTTCATTACTAAAAGATCTTCAGGTTCACTACTGAATCACAGAAGYAGGAGACAAGGAGTTCTGTGGCATCTGGCCAACAGTCTGAAGAAGGACACCTACAATAGAAAGTAATTTTGGTTTATTAGTTGCTCTTAATCCAGACAATGACTATAGGCTGCCTGAGAAAGCCATGAGCCAGTGACATTTTATGTCATGAGTAGGTGCAAGCTGCCTGCTCTTGGCGCCCAATCCTTATTCTGCTCGGTTGTTTATATTGGGCAATGTTTKGTGATAATTCCAGTTTCTTCAGACAATGATCTATTATTCTTCCTTTGTAAGGAGAAGAAACATAGCGCCCGGCCTCGGCCCATCCGTAGCTCCTCACATGCTGACTACAAACAATGCTCCATGTGGCTTCCCAGGAGAAGGATCACACATGCTCAGCAATTTTTAGGAACCTCTCTTGCCAAGTGCTTCCCCTTCCTGCCCAATACGCACTATAGAAGTAACTTCAAGAGCTGCCTGTAGCCRCTTGGCCCCTTTGTTTCTCACTAAAATATTTCTTACTTGCACTTTGCAAACCTCTCACCTAACTGTTATTTGAGGGTGAAATCAGCTCTGATCTCACCTGTTAAATCCCCTAAACCGCCGGAATAATCTTAAAGATCACCTAGYACGTGGTAAGCAATTTCATTCTGGATACATACCAAAACTTTACATATTCCTTTACAGGAAACACGCCGACTTCATGCACTAACGCGCAAGTATCCCCTCCTCAGCAACTGTGCTCCAGCTGATATGTATCCGCTTCCTTTAGGTCTGACTGGATCCCATCTAGGCCAGCAAACAGACCTATATTAACATCTGAGTGCAGGAAAACTGTGCTGGTTTTGATTTATCCCTGACTATGAACAGCTGAATTATGGCACTAGAAAAGTATGTTTCAGCATTGCATCACTCTTTGGGGTGATTGTAACACATTTAGCTCTGACTACACAAGCATTGCTTCCACACGAGATAAATTCGGCAATCACAAGAGCTTATTTATCATGTCCTGTGGATTGCAGCAGGATTGTACCTTAGCATCCCAGAAGCAGGGAGTGCACTCCATGTTCTGACTGCATTCGCTTAGCTCATCAATACAGAGTTAACTGCTGGAGGCAGCGCACAATTGTCAATATATATCTGATATATCTGGGCTTCAAAGGTGCTGCAAAAATGGTACGCTAAACTATTCAGGCCCTCTCTGAAAGATACCGGCATTCCCGTTCATTTCTCCTCTTTTCTCCATAAATAGCTATCTAAATGATTTAGAAAAAAAAAAAAAAAAAAAGCCTTTTATCCTTGTTGTCTCCATCACAGCAATACTTACTATTCATTCCTTTAATGAGGTGAGGCCTCTGTTGCAAGAAACGCCTGACAGCTGTTTCCCATTCACCTTCTCAATCCTTCTGTATTATCTGCAGACCTGCCACCCCGCTCTTCAGAGCTCTGCATCACTTAGGAGCGCGTTGAGAAACAGAAATCTCACCACTACCTCTCTGCACTGCAGGAACAGACAGGAGGAGCAGCATTTTTTTCCTGTTCAAATATCGGTACTACGTATATGCATGTTAAGTGCTGCTTAACAAAACTCATTCAACTCTGAACRTGCTTGAAGTAGCCATTTTTCTCTCCTGAATCTGTCAACAAGTTTTAAGGGAGAAATTACAGTAAAAATAYTAATTATATGCTAGTTAAAGGTACAACCGTGACAGATGAATTTATGGAAACACCCCTTTAAAGAACACATGAGCGTAATCCTCTTTCAAGAAACGAAGCAGATGCCTAAAGCTAAGRATTCACTTACACGAAGCCTTGACGAAGGATGACTTTAAACACTTGCTTTCCTACATTTGGGAGGGCAGGGGGAGCAAAACGGSAGCCTTTAGACTCGCTCTCCGATCATGCCCAACAAACTCGCACAACTCCCCTCACAGCCTGAGACCGAGCGGCGCAATTTACAACGGCCAGGCCGTTGTTTAAAATGACTGTTTTATTGTTTCCTTATCGCAATTTATGAGGTTCTTAACCTCGTTAACCCTCAGCGTGGAGCGCAGCCGGCCCTGCCGCCYGTGCCGCTATCTGCGGCCGACTGTCGAGGGAACCATCGCACGGGGAGGGAGACGGTACCGGGCGATGCGGAGCCCCTCGCTCCAGCGGCGCCCTGTGCAACGCGGGGCTGCCCAGCAGCCTTCCCAGAGGCTCGCGTCACCTTAATAACGAAATAAAAGAAATTCTGGCTGCAGAATCTGCGGAAAAAAACAAACAAAAAAAAATAGCGGTAGCAAGAGTAAAAGGGAAGATAAAGCGCTGTGTGGCTTTCTAGGGAAGGGGGGTTGTGTAGATTCCTCCTCCTCGTAACTCGCCGATCGCTGTAGGTAAACGCTCCCTTATTTTCCATTGCTATTCTTACTATCTGTTTTTATTCCCTATAGGAGGCCACTTCACCGGCGCTCAGCTCCTGCCGCGACCCCGGCGGGGCACGAAGAGGGCGCAGACGGAGAGGCTTCACCCGGGGCGGCGACCGCTCCAACTCCCGTGGCGTCCCCCGGGCGCTCCGCTCCGCAGCGCCGCCGCGCGCGGGAGCGGGCACGGGAGCGGGAGCGGAAGCGGGCGGCCCGGCGCTGCCCTGCCCTGCCGCCGGCCGCCGCTTGGGGCTCCCTGCCGCCTTGGGGCGGCGCGGCCCGCCATTGCCGGGGCATGGAGGGCGAGAGCACGTCCGCCCTGCTCTCGGGCTTCGTCTTCGGCGCCCTCGCCTTCCAGCACCTCAGCACGGACTCGGACACGGTGCGAGGGCCGCCGCGGGAACGGGGGAGGGCAGCCGGGGCCGCGCGGGGCGGGGCGGCGCCGGGCGCTGCCGTTAGCGGGGGCCGTTGGCCGGTACCGCCGCCGCCGCCATGCTGGGCCCTGCATGGGCGGCAGAGGGGAGGGCTGCCCGGGCCGGGACCGCCCGCCCTCGGCGGGAAGCGGCGCCCGGGCCTGGGGCTCTGCCTCTCCGTGACGGAAAGCGGGCTGTTCCCGGGCAGCGAGGGGCTGCCGCCCTCCCCGCACGGCGCTGCCGCCCCGCCGCCCCGGTAGCGCCCTGCAGCCGTGAGAGGCGCCCGCGTAGCTCGAACCGGAGCTGTAGCCGCAGCSAAGCGCCTCGTGGCGTCTCAGCCTGTCCGGGCAGATAACCTTTATCTTCCCGAGCAGGAACCAGGCACAGCTTGGCCTCAGCCACATCCTCTGCCTTTCCTTTTATTTCTTGCATTATGCTCTTTATAACCCGCTTCAGTTTGCTGCCTACAGCAACAGCTGTGATCAGCTCAAAGGGTTGTTGCTTTGAGAGGTACAGTGCACAGCGCCTGAGGAGTAGTATTGCTTCGCCAGAGCCCCAGACTGTTCAGTGCTCAATAAAACAACAGAGAAGGAATGGAAAGCCTCTGTGAATGAATCTCAGCTCCTTTTTCTTAAATACCTCTGTGTTTAAAACACAGTGATAACCAACTTGGTTTAGAAAGKTAACTGAGCATCCCCATCCTCAGGCCAAAGTTCACCCTGATAATGTTAGCCATAGAGAACCGATTGTAATAAATCTCAACTTCTYCCTGTACAGGAAGGTTTCCTCCTTGGAGATGTGAAGGGTGAAGCCAAGAACAGCATTACCGACTCACAAATGGATGATGTTGAAGTCGTTTATACAATTGGTCAGTCCGCTTTTCTAATCCTGTCCATAGTTACASAAAGTTTTATATAACCATATGCTTACAATTTTGAATAAGGGCAGCAAAAATCTTTCTGGAAGTATGACACTACCCTGGTGTGCAAAAACATGCAAAAATTATTTTTAAGTCTTGCACCTGGAAAATGTCATTTAATCTAGACATATCTAATAATTTAATGGAAGTACCATATCTTAGTCCCTTGAATGGCTCTTCCGAACATCATTACATTAAAGAACTTTTGACTTAGATACTCTTTTTGGCTTAAGCATGTTACTCCAACMCTCCTGGAGGACACTTGCCCTGGATAAGCCTAACATTTCCATGATGAGATACCATATACTTGTTACTTAAATATAAAGTAGGCCAATGCCAAAAACTACTAGTTATGTATGTCACTATTGAGCAGATGTCAGACATATCTTCCCCTTATACTTTCCACAGAATAGCAGTAAAAATATGTTTTATACTATCTCTAAAATAGAAGGATGTGTGCACACACAGATGGATTACTGTAGAAATACATTCATACAAAAAAAAMGCCACCACAATAGTTGCTTTTTTGCCCTTTCTGGAAGACTCTTCCCTGGACCTTACAGATTTAAGTTCTGAGCATAGTCTACARGAGAATGTGTCTTGAGCAGATGAACCCACTCTAATTTTGGTTTCTCTTTTCAGATATACAGAAGCATATTCCTTGCTACCAACTGTTCAGGTGAGGATCTTAAGGAAACAGGAGATGTGTTAACCCTAATGCTAGCTCTTAAGAATTAAACTCCTATTGAGAAAATTATGCAGCTGGAATCTCAGCCTCTTGAAATTATAAGTGCAAAATGGCTGGTCATACTCCTGTTTTGATGTTGCATGCCTTTTATAGGTGCTCATCTTGGCATATGGAAATAGATATGGTACACCACACTTCTGTTGAGCTATGAAGCCATATAAACGTCAAACGTCCAGGTCCACCTTGTGGAAAACAAAACAAAAAAGAGACAGCAGCCTACAGTCTGACTCCTCTCCCTCACAAAATAAATACCAAAAAAAACCCAAATAGTATCACTTTGGAGCTTCAGTGCAGTCCAGAAGGAGCAGTTTTTAGTCTTGCATTAAGAATAGTTTCAAGGACTAATACCAAGTCACATCAGAAATAACAGCTGAACAGACTAATACTGTAAGGGGAGAATCACAGCTTGGTTTTCACTTGAAAAATCTCTTCCTGAAAATTAATAAAACCACACAATATTAGAGCAGTATCTCATATCAAAATGGAGACATCTTGTCAAGCTGTAGCTGCGCCTACAGTATAAGATTTTACCATTGTGCTGCAGTAACATTGATGGTGAAACGGCACATGGTCTGTACAAGTCCACTTACGTATTTATTTTAGCAAACAGCCAGTTATTACATGAACATGAAAGAAAATTGCTAGACCATTTGGGATAATCATTTGATAGAGTAGCTTTCTCCTTCCTTCCTCATTGTTCTATTTTTCTTGTAGCTTTTATAATTCTGCRGGAGAACTGAATGAACCTGCCCTGAAGAAAATATTGTCAGGCTGCAAAAAGGTATTTCATTTTCAAAACTAACACATACCAAGGGACTGGCTCTGTTAATTCTTTTGGAGGGCTGTGAGGTCAATCTTTTGTCTCTTCTATGATGTATAGAATTTAYTGGATATCATCCTTCACATTGCTGGTCACACTTATCTGTTCTTCCCCTGAAGAACATATCCATTTAGAGTAATGATGGACAAGGATATGTCTGTACAAKAACTTGATTTTTCCTATTCATTTTTGAAGTAAACCAGTTAAAGGCCTCAGAGAAGCTCAACTGACCTTTAAAGCAAGTATCATTTGAGGYACAMTTCCAGCTGAGGGGTTATGCTTTASCTTACTCGAATGGCTGTGCAACGCCCAAGATGTGTCGTCATCTCTGCAGAAAGGTTTCTCTAAAGGAAAACAGAAGCTAGAAAAGGATAAATGGATACATAGCAGAACCCAGTTTGCAGGCTTTCACCTTGAGCACAAGCTTTGAACACATGCCCATTCAATGTTTTTGATAGAGATAAGCAGGCRTAGTAGAATTGTCAGGTTATTAGATGTTTTCATAGAATGGTTGAGGGATCTGGAGATCATCTAGTCCAACCCCCTGCTTAAGCAGGGTCACCTCAAGCGCAGTGCTGCTTTCAGGCAGGTTTTGAGCATCTCCACAGCCTCTTTGGGCAGCCTCTTCCAGTGCTGTTCACACCTTCTGTCACTGTAACAACTAACCAATTTCCTCTTGTCTGCAGAGCATAATAGGATGGTACAAATTCAGACGCAACACAGACCAGACGATGACATTCCGAGAAAGGCTTCTTCACAAGAATCTGCAGTCACACCTCTCAAATCCAAGCCTTGTCTTCCTTTTATTAACTTCCAGCATGATGACAGAAAGTTGTTCTACCTACAGACTGGAGCACGCTTTACACCGACCACAGGAGGGGTAACTTGCTTGATTTAGAGTTTAAATGCAACACTTGTACAGAAGATGTTCTGACTTGGAGCAATTCTTTTTTTCTTACTAGTTAATATACTTTCAAGGACAAAATAAGCCAGCACTAATTCTATTACACACTAGGAAAGAATTTCTTATACAACGGGAGCTCTTCTGATAGAGAAGTTGAAACCTTCCCCCTAGGGCCTCTGTAACCACCTGCAGCACCAGCTAAACAGGCAGAAACTGTCACTTACATGTAAGTGATCAAGAAGAGTTACACCTTGCAGGTCTTACTCCCAATAGCCAATTTGTGTGGTACTCATTTATACTCTTTTAAAGTGTTAGAAAACAGGGGCAACTTTCAGYTGGCTTTTAGGAGGTATTGAGACAGGCTGGTAAGAGAAGGTTGAACAGGAAAGTAAAATACCCATAAGCAGGAGAAAGCTCTGCAGTCATGTCTGAAATTCATAGCCTTTTGGGGGATTTGCTTTGCGTGACCATACATCCATCATCCAAGTTMTATATTCTTAAGTTGAGCAGGAATTACCCTGAGAACCCATGATGCTCAGGGATGGGGACATTTTTCAYTCCTATGAGAGCTTTTGAATGTTAACATATTGTGTTTTCATGCTTTTGCTTTTCAAGTCTTTTCCAGAAAGTTCCTCTGGTGGTCACTAACCTGGGTATGGCAGAACAGCAGGGCTACAGAACAGTGTCTGGTTCCTGCATATCTGCTGGCTTTGTGAGAGCAGTAAGACAGCACAGGTACAACATATACCCTCTGTAGTGATCTGTTGAAGCTTTCCTACAAGTTACAGGAAAACTCCTCTATCACAACTTTCAGTCTTAAGGATAAGAGCGTAAACTCATCCCTAATTACTTGGATACAGACCAGCAGGTAACCATCATAACTGTATGGCTCAACAAATGCAACGCTTGTGTAGCAACAGCTCAGCTACTATACATGTCAGTCTGCCCCTCACATACAATATCTTGTTTCTTTGATATCCAGCTCCAAGTCTCCAAACAAGTTTAACTAGTTCAAAAATGCTACCCTCACTGCTCACTTTTTGGTCTGGTTTCTGTAGTTCTTTGACTTGAAGTAGTCAAGGCTTCCCTTCTGGTGGGTCAGTTTTCCACACTGCTGCTGCAAGATGAGCTTTACATGTAGCTTGGTAAAGCTGTTTCATTTTAAATACAAGAGACTTAATGCTTCTTTCTGCATTAGAGCTCCTACTTAGTGAGCACTGGGATCACTCATTTTCAATTCTGCAATTAATTCTTTTTTTCCTAAAGGTCAGATTTCTTTTATGAAGATGGATCTTTACAAGAGGTTCATAAGATTAATGAAATGTATGCCACCTTGCAGGAAGAACTGAAGGTAAGTCCAGCTTACCTGCTTGTACAGCCATTTTTCTCACCAATGGCACAAACACACAGTAAGCAAAGGCTGAAACATCCTGCACTAAGCAAGACACAAGCATAAAAAGGACATTTTGCCCTCTAAGACCTTGTTCRAAGACAAATGAGTTAAGGGGACAGCCAGAAGCTGTAAACACGAGTTTTGCAAGAGAAAGCTGTAATACTGCCAGCAATACCTTTCCATTTGGGCACAAATTAAGGTTATTAACAGAACTACAAGGAATACTGAAGCGTTATCTAGGACCTACTGTCCATAGTTCATTCTAGCTGTTTGTAAGAAGGAAGTAGTAGTAAGTGTCTCGCTTCTCAAAGCAAGGCTAGCATTCCATATCATAAGAAAAATCCAGTCCAAATTCATTATTGCTGCTGTTTAATACGCTTCATTTTTAAAGCTGGGAACAAAGTATCTTTAAACAGTTTGCCATGCAATTAAGTTGATAAGCTCTGAAATCAGCTGAGCTGACAAAACAACTTGTCCTTGCAGAACATAAGCTCTACTGTAGAGGTCAGTGAACGATCTGTAGAGAAGCTCTTAGCAGAAGTGAAGCAGTTAAAAGAAGAAATAAAGAGGAAAAAGCAAAACAAAGATTCTCCGGGTAAGCTGAATAAACCCAATGCTGGTGTCARTAATAGTTGCACAGTCAACTTTACTAACACAAGCAAAGCTCTTCGGAAAGCCCTGTCACAACTTCTAATGCAGCCAAAACTGTCCTGGTACAAWTGTGCAAAGGGGGCCTGACATTCTGACCTTTGTTTTGCAGGAAAGGGCAAGAATCACCGAGGAGAGCCCAAGGAGAATGTTTTCCTTTGTCAGGCTTTGCAAACCTTTTTTCCAAATTCTGGACTCCAGACATGCACTGTTTCCTTCCAAGGCAGACAGATATTTAAGAACTGCTGTAACACTGACCATAACATTAATGTGGTAGACAAATTGACTCTCATGGTAGAGGACAGAGACTTCACTGAAGCCGAAACAAGGCAGCTAACCAAACGTAAGGGCAGAGGGACCACAGCAGGACCAAAATCACTCAAGAGATCAAGAACGCTTCAGCTTCACCAAAAGGTACTTCGAGACCAAGACGACAGTGACCAGGAAAGGAAGCTTACCCTGAGCAGCACTGAAACAGATGAGGAGGTGTTAGAAAAGCTGAAGGACACAACTGAATACTCACAGTCTCCCACCTTCTAAGTGCTTAGCTCAGGTGCTTTGTCCACATGACTACATCTGCACCAAAAGCACCTGCTGGGATGTTTAAACTGTCTCCTATGATTTACAGTACTGCAGGGATAAAAGAGACATGCTAAGTTTATGAAGTATATACTTAGTTTGAAACGCATTTGTCTGAAAATACAAAGCAGAGTCCAAAACACTTCCTCATTCTGCCTTCCACAAATAATTCTGTTCTTTCTCTCAGGGTTTAAATATTACATGAGTAGAATGGAAGCAGAGACACATCACATACTGCCCCAGAGTGACACAGCTTGAAGCTACTGCTAGGAGACCCCATACCACGCCTGGGCAAGTCTTTCCTCAGCAGAAAGTGCTCAAGAGGATTAAGGCAGCCCAGATAACACAAGAGCAGCAGCTGCCGTTTACAAACCAGAGTCTACCTACCTCTACCCATGCCTTGCTACCCAGGACTTCACAAGCCTCTCCCCATTTACAGTCCAACAAGGGAAAAGCAGCTGTTTTACTTTGAAGCTTCCTAGCAGGATAAGTAGTCTGTACAACTAAGGAGTCTGCTATTAACTTTTACCTTCCTTCCAGAGACTTCTCCACAGAGAAAAAACTCTCACCCATGAAGTCTCATGACAGCCAACCACATTTTCAGTAAAACAAGTCTATAAACAAGAAATCAAATAACTTTATTTTTTATTTCTTTACARTACACATTACTCTGGATACTTGACATTACAGATCTTGGGGTCCGTAAGAAACGATGGGTTCTTAAACATCACTGACATAAATCCTGTAAGGCAAGGAAAATGAGGGGTTTTTTTACTCAGAACAGACATACTTGACCTATGAAAGACTCAAATTATAGTCACACTTACCAAACACATGAGCTCTTTTAATGGCTTTTGAAACTTCTTTCTGTTTCCTGTTACACAAACCTGTGTAGGTAAAACACCMTTAGTAGCTACCTGCACAATAACCAAATAGCCTAAGGGATGAAAACATTACTATTGCTTCTAGCTTTCCAAGGTCTTTCCAGAAAAAGCATGTCTGCTTGTACAAACTGTTAAAGCTATAGAAAATAAAAGCTACAGAATATTTTTGTCACATTTTTAACAATGTGTATACAGCTGCTCTTTTCAAAAAGATTTTATATCTAATTACTTAACAGTCTTAGCACTGGCCAAATAGCACCAAATGAATGAAGCATCCCACTTACCTGTTATGTGCCTGCCATAAATATGGCCAGTGTAGGGAGAAATAAACTGTGACAGAAGCTGTTGAAAGATAGGCAGCGTCAGTTTCTTCAGACTTTTAACTCTTTTCTATTTATTTACTATTATGAAACTGCCCTTACAGAAATACAGTTTTTTCCTTTAAGAGGAATTCAGTTACTTATACTAGGATTAAGAAAATGATAATTTTGCATACTTGTGGAAACGGCAAAGTTGAACACGATGCCCCATTCGCATTATTGATTTTCRTAGCCTTAAGTGGGGTTAAGGATATTACATTTAAGTTTTAGGCTCCCTTTACGTGAAGCTCTGAAACCTGCGGATATTTCCCCTGAACTTTCCTCCCTCCACAACAACGCAGCAACACAGCAACGCAGCAACCTCAAGAGTCGCATAGCACTTCACAGATATTCCGAAGAAGCTCACCTGCACGTTCTTGTAGTCCACTTTTATCCCACACAACACACATCTTTGTGGAGGCTCCTTATAGGGATTCTCCATTTGCACTGGCTGCAAGGAGAGGGATTTACAGCTCAGCCTTGCCACAGCAGTAGGCACTACTCTACACCTTAGTGTTTTAAGGCACCAAGTAGAGACTTGTTGACACCGAAAGAAGAGCTACAGGAATTCCCAGGATTTAACAGGCGGGCGGGAAGCCGTTACACACGCTCCCGGAGCAGCCCAACGTGCGGCATTTCCAAGGAAGCGGCTTCTCCGCCGAGGCCTCTCACACCCAGGAGATGGGGCCACCCCACGGAGGAGCTCGGGGGCCGCCCCTCCTCGCCGCGCAGCCCCCCACGGCTGCCCCGGGCGCTGCGGAGCGCGGAGCTTACGTGATCCGCCGGGGCCGCCGCCGCCGCCCGCGCCGAGCCGCAGCCCCGGCCCCACAGCAGCGCTGCAACACAAGGACACAACACAGGGCGGGGGGGTCAGCGCCGCGAGCCCCTCCTCGCCCCACCTCGACGCGGGCAACAGCGGCACCGACCTGCGGGGAGCGCCCGCCGCCGCAGCGCCGCCATGACGGCCCGCCGGGACACCCCGAATAACCGTCACTTCCGGAAAGCTCCCCCACGCGGAGCGCCTGCGTCGCCAGCGGCGGAAATAG